ATGGCCAATAAATACGTGAAAAACATTCAACATTGCTAACCATTAGAGAAATGCAAATTAAAACAACCCTGAAGGGGCCAGGGATTTAGCTCAGTGGTTCTGCCACCTGTCCCAAAAGTGCAAGGTCCAGAGTTTGATCCCCGGTACCAAACCAGAAAACAAGCACAAACAACCAACCTGAGATTCCATCTCCCTCAAGAAGAATGGCTGTCCTCAAGAAATGAAACCTTAACACATGCAGGAGAGGCTGCGGGATGGGCGAGGCCCTTCTTTCTAGGTGATGGGAGTGTAAACTGGTACAGCCATTATGGAGATCAGGGGAGATCAGGCGCGTTCAAGGTGGTATGGCCGTAAACCATTACAGAAATCATTATGGAGATTCCTCAAAAAACTAAAAGTAGAAATTCCATTTGACCCAACTATTCCCTTTCTAAGTATCTTCCCAAGTTAAAGACGTCATATTACAGACATACATGCATACCCATGTTTACAGGAACACAGTTCATAATGAATAGCTAAATCTTCAAAGCAGCCTATATGTCCACTCACAGATGAAAGGATAAAGACAATGTGCTATATATACATAAGAGTATTACTGTGCCATAAATAAGGATAAACTTGACTTGTTCTGGATAAATGGATGTACCTTGAAACCATAATATGAAGTGAAGTAATTAAATACACAAGCTTAAATATCATATGATTTCTCTTATAAGAGAAATCCAATATATAAACAAAATACAAAATAAAAGACAGTAGGAAAGAAAGAAAAAATTATTGTAGTTGAGCATGGCTAGTGTATCTGAAATTGCACCTTCATTTAGTTGAATTGTCTTGAATGTCTTATGTTTTTTGGTCCTGTTTGTCTTTTAATCTGTGTATTATAGTTAACTTAGTAAAGACTTATTAAAAAATGAATAAATCTGTTGCTGAACAAAAAAAGAAAATGAGAGGGGGGAATAGAATGGAGATGTGTTATGTACATGTAACACTTCCCCACAATAAATATAATTATTTTAGTCAAAACAGGATTGTGGCAGTACTTCAAATCCAGACTTTGTTACTTAACATAATGTCCTTTATAACAATTCCTTGCTCTGATCTAGGATTCAATCCAGGATCATAGAAATTATACTCAGCTGTCCGCTCTCTTTTAGTCTCTCTTTATCAAAAATAGCTCCTCTGCTTTTCTTGGTCTCTCAGGACATTGACATTTTAGAAGAGTACCAGCTTAGCGTTTGGAGTTTGTATATTTCCTCACTTGAAAATTCCTCACAATTGTGTGTATTTCTGGGCAGAAATGCCATACAAATGTTTTGTATCCTTCTGAGTACATAGCATTTGGAGGCGCAGGATGTCCTATTGTACCACTATTGGTCATGTTAGCTTCAGTTCCTTGGTTAATATGTTGTTACATTTGCATAATTCAATCTGTCTGGTCTGGAGGGCTTGAACATTTAAAGTCAGGCATTTACAGAAAGCTTTCTCTGGTACAGTTCTATTCGGTTTGTAAGTGCACTTTAAAAATTTGGACTTTTTGCTTTGAAAAGTGGTCATCTTTGTTTTCTGTGTGGTGTGCTCTTCTGTACATACCCTGTTAAGTAGAAGGGCCAGGTAGAATGAGCTGCAGACAGCTCATTGCCAGCAACAATGGTGCTGGGGTTTCCTAGGAGTGGAAAAGCTAGATCAGGATACGGAGAGATCTCCTCTGAGCACATCTGATGGCCTTGCATTCTGTCTCTTGTGTGCTGCTTCTGTTCTGATACTGCTCATTGACCGCTTAGCTTTGGTCGGCTTGTGATGTAAATGTATTAGATGGGTAAGACCCCCATGGTTGCTCTTTCACTGGTAATGAGATTCCACGTGGAGGTGACTCAGAACTCAGGTCTGCCATGTAGGCAGGATGTTCTGCTAATCACTCTAGAAGTTTAGAGTTGCATCATAGCCTGAATTAATTTGGGTCGGTGTCTCTCGGACTTCTTCCAGTGTATGAACTGCTGCACATTGGGCATTTGACCTTGCTGACTCCTGTGCTTGTTCCTGTTAACCTGGAAGCAAACACAATGACCACATGTAATCCATTGAGGAGTAATCCAGAAAATGGTACTTTGTAAAACGAAACACAGAAGTCATCGAAAAAATGAATATTGTGGACAGCAGTGTATTTTGGTTCTCCTGCCTAGTATTTGTTAAAAAGCTGGGGAGAGGGGGCTGAGGATTTAGCTCCATAGCACTGCTGCCTGTCTCGCAAATGCAAGGTCCTGAGTTCAATCTCTGGTACCAGGAAAAAAAAAGAAATGCTGGGGGAAATGCATAAAGGAGTAAGACATTGTCCCTGATCTTGTGAACTTGGTGGTGGGAACCAGAAATATGAGATGGTCCTGGTGTGAGATGAGTGACACCTTTAAGACTGGCCCAGAGCTGCTCAAAGTGTAGCTGTTGTGGGAATGGGAAAGTTCTTTAGCCTGGAGAGATCAGGAAAGGCCCGATTAAGCATCAGATCTGAGCTGAGTGTGGAGAGTGGGGTGGGGATGGGAACTGTTGAAGACAGGGCAGTGGTTTGCTAACAAAAGCCTAGCCTTGTAGACCACCAGCAGGATCTGGTGGGACCAGACTGTGAGAATCACTGCAGAATGGCCAGAATTTGTGTTTCTGGGGGAATTTGAGTAATTGTTGAATGAGTACCCAGCACTGCCAATGAAAACACAATTTGGATGAGACCAATTTTCAAATTCTGTCTGATGAAACATAAACAGAGTCTTTATAATGTAGTGTTATTGCTTGGGTGATTATTTTCAGAATATAATGTTCAGCCAAATGGTTCCTAATTGATCTCAAAATATTTACTGAGCCTAGCACTGTGATATCTTTCTGTTGAGCTGTTGATTTATCCTAAAAGCACAGTAAGGATATGAATATTATAAGACTAGGAAAACAAAAATGCCACGAATGGTGAAAGACAAATACCAAATGTACAGTTTTATGACAAACATGGCAAAGTGCATAGGGTCCTCCCTCCCCGTTTTCTTTACTTTACAATCTGTGAAGAAAACCAAACCAGGCAGTCATACATGAAATTCAGGTGCACTTCTCAACCTAGTACAGATCCCAAATAATTAAGTGATTTTTTAATTTTGATACTTTAAAAAATCACACTATGCAAACCTGTAATCCTAGCACTCTGAGAAGTTGAAGCAGGAGGATCAGAAAGAAGTTCAAGCCCAGTTTGGGTAATCTAGCAACCTAGAGAGACCTTGCAAATAAAAAGGGCCAGGAATGTAGCTCAGTACAAAGGCCCTGAGTACAGTCCCCTGTACCAGTGTTGTCAAGGGGAGACCACTGCTCAGTCTACTTATAAGAAATATTCCCTGAAACTTTTCAGGTAGCCATTCATAATTGGAGAAGTTCTGATTCCTGGAACCTGGATTTTTTTTAAACACCCTTCTCTCTCCCAAGGTGGTTTCAAAATAAGCTTACATATCTTTGAGTGTCTTCTCTTTAAGAGACAGTATACAGTCCTCTTTCTCATCCATGTGGGCTGGATTTAGAAGTATATAGAAAAGCGTGAAAGTGATGGTTGATGAATGCAGAGACCAAGAAATGAGAGGCACTATGGCTTTCTTACTCTGTCTCATAGACTGCTTGCTCTAAAGGAAGTCAACTGCCATATTTTGAGGCCTACACATGGCCTACAGAGAGACCCACACAGTGAGGAACTGAGGTCTGTTGTCACCAGCCCCATGAGTGTACCATCTTGGGGTGGGTCATCCAGCCCAGTGACACCTTCACATGACTTTAGTCCCTGCTACTTCTGAGGACAGCTACCTCAGAGAGCCACCAGCTAAGTCCTCTAAGTTTCCCAAGAGTTCCTGTCCTATGGAAGCTGTGAGATGATGTTTATTTTAAGCCACTACATTTTGGGATAACTTGTTACACAACACTCATGGTGAATAGTAGATTACAGACCTTTAGCAATGATTTTGGCATGCTTGTGGTCAGACTCACTAGCACTGAGTCATAATCTCTAGAGATTTTATTATTAGCATTATTTTTCAGCTTGAATTTTTATTGCTAACTTAATAGATACATTAGCTATGACCCTTCCCTGTTTTGTTTTTTTTTTTAAGGGACTGCCACGAAGATTAAATTGGTTTATGGGTTCATTTGTTTTTCAGTTTTGTAAAATTTGTAAATTTGTTCTGGGCAGTTGCTAATGCTTGAACTGACTTGTGGGTTATCCCTATGTGACTGGGACACATGTTTGTCTATGTCCTTAAAGGAATCAGTAGTGACAGGAGGCTTTCAGCATATCCCAAAGACAGCTGATAGGAAAAATATGCCTAGGCGTATATTCCTAGAGGCTATGCTTATGCCTGAATTGGAGCAAAAATTATAGGCAACCTTAGGAAAACTTAGATTATGAGATATTTTATCTTCCCTTAAAAATATGTCAGTAGTTCCTTACTTATCTCCTGCCTTGGTGTGAGCAGAAGTTTCCCAGGGTTGTGTGTTCTTAAGTTTTAAAACCTTGGATGTGGGTACCTTGTTTTCCTACTTAGGAAATTTTTTTCAGGAGGAAAAGGTTTGGCTGGGTGCACATACTCCTTTTCACAGCAAATTTTTTGTGACTGGCGCAGAAATGCTAGATCCATGTGGTCCTGTAGTGGTCAGGGAGAGAAGGGGTACCGGGGAGAGAGCAGGCTGAGGTTGATGGAATTAAAGTTAAAGCCCAGGAGGGCCAGGGAGTTAGCTCAGTGGTTCTGCTGCCTGCCTTACAAGTGCGAGGTCCCAAGTTCAATCCCTGGTACCAAAAAAAAAAAAAAGCTAATGCTCAGAAAATGCAGAGAATACAGTTTGGAGAAGAATTAGAATGAACTGTAAGTGACTCAGAGATGAGTTGGTGACTCTGTGTACCTTGATATCTTTTGGAAGGGAGGAGCTCAGGTTGAATGAGTTTCCTACAAAATTGAAGTTTCCCCAATGACACAATGATAGACCATACTTTTTTTTTTTATTTCTATTTGCAAATGTCTAAAGAGCATTATCTGCTTTCCCACTTTTTGAAGTAGCAGGTAAGTATGATAATGTCACCTTGGTGACAACATTCAGAGCTGGACTGCTGATGTGGCTGCCCTTAGCCTGTTAGGATGGATGGTTGTGCCCTACTCTGATACATCATCTCTCACTGGACATACTTCTCTCTGTGTCTGCCTTGGGTCCCGGTGTGGTTCTGGATAGGAGAGGCTGAGGTGGGACAAGGTTGATAACTCATTTTATAGAGGCTGGCTGCAGGCTCGCCGCACTCATGTGAAATGCAGATGCTGAATGATGGCACACTCTTCCTTCTTGGAAGCTTGTTCTGGCTGCTCAGGTTGGTGGCTGTTCTGTAGCTTGGTCTTCCTTTACGGAAATATGACTGCGAGCTGGCACAGAGAGGCCAATATGGTTAGACAGAAGATTTTTATTATTGACATTTCCCATATGGACAGGGTGGTCGGGAGGCAGAAGATAGGAATGAGGAGAAAGCTAAGGACACCCCTTTAGGGGGTCTCTGAGAGAAGGGCAAGGCAAAGCGACGGCTCAGGATGGGTTAGCTGGTGACTAGGGGCCCTCAGTTCATAGGGTTGGTCTCTGTTGCCTAGTACTTGGCCCCAGAATGATTTAGGGATGCGGAAGTAGTCGTTTGGTGTGGAAGAACAGGAAAAGGAGACGTGTGATACAGACTCTGGCCCCTTAGGTATTTCTAAGACTTGGCCCGGCCTGGGAGGAACATTTTCCTTCTGGGTCTACAAGGCTTCTAAAATGCCATGGCATGAAGAATATAGAAAATAGTAGAATTAGTTTTGTGACAATGGATGCCAAATAGACAAATGTAGGCTGTAAGGGAATGCAGAACGCCTTGTAACAGGTGGATTGCTGTTGCTGAATGTGCAGTTTCCACATCCTCGTCAGATAGCTTTGGTGTCCTCGCCACCTTTGACTCTTTAGCAGTGGGTATTGGGAGGCTCTGTCTGTAAGAGGGAGTCCTTCAGTGGAAGGTGTTCTTGTGTGCTTTTTCTTGTTCAGAAATGTGCCAGAAATAAGTTGAAGTTCATCTCGCCAAGCGAAAGGACTCAGATAACTGTTCTCGGAAAGATAGGGAGAAGGCCGAGACTGCGCTGGGGACGTTGGTCTCCCTCTCAGCATTTCTGGGATGCAAATGGATTTTAATAAGTTACTAAATGTCTAATATATAGTAAACTTATGAGCAAGCTGTTACTCACATGCATTGTGTAACTTTTATTTATTATATAAATGATCCATGTTGTTATAGATAAATCGGGAAATTCAGACCCAGGAACAGAAAATGAAAACCAGCTTTATAATCCTGCCATCTGCAGTTAGCCTCTGTTTTTTAAAAGAAAGGATTCTGCCATCTATAAGTTTCCTTTTGTGATTTTCTTCTCCTAAAACATTTCCTCCTATAGATTTTAAATGTCCAGAAATTTGTCGTTTAGGATGAAAATATGCAAATAAATTTATTTTGCATTCCTTTAGTCTAAATAATTGTTTTCTGTTATGCTGGAATTCTTGCAATCAAAAAAGTCAGTGACAAAGGAATTTTGTAAATTCTTATATTTCTGATAATCCTAGGCAGATGACTTTGAGGTAATATTTTGGAAAGCAGGTAATCACCCAGTATGGTATTCTGGCCCCTCTTCCTGCTGCTAGTGATATCTGAGAACTCCGCCTGTTAAGTGTGGCCTTCCTGATTAAGGGCTGAAGATTGGAAGAGCTAATTGCATTAGATGTGTGTTCCCTTCTATCACCTCTGGGGTGCTGAGTAGACATTCGCAGCTCCAAGCTGGAGAGCTGGATAATGGGCATAAATCAGGATCTGGGAGGGCTGGTCCCGGAACAGCTGTCAGCCAGCTGCTGCGCTGGTAACTGGCAAACAGTGGTAAGTTTTCATCTGAGAACCTTTAATCATGTCGGGAACAGCAGTGCGAGGCTCCCACATATGTGTTACCTGGGCTGGAGCTCCATCCTGCCTCTACCACCTGCTGGTCTATGCCTGTAGGCTGGTGCCTGGGCTCCTGAGCTTCATTCCTCTCATTTGTAAATGCTGGTGATGTGCAGTCCTTTGGAGGGTTGCTGTGAAAAGGACGTTAGACAGGTAATGCAGGTGAAGGGCCTGGTACCATGCCTGGTTTGTCACTGTCACCATGAGTCGCTGTGATTATGTTATAGTTCAGTATTAGGAAGGGTTTGAGCAGATTACCGCCAGGGATGAGTCTGTTCTAATCTTGTCATGAGAAGATCTCCCAAATCCATTAAAACATAACTCCTGTACTGTCCTATGTGGGAAGCTAGTCCAGTACAGGGAAGGTTAAATCGAATGTAGGTAAATATTGTGGCACCAAGTCTCTTTGTCTAAAACAAGGGAGGATCCTGGTGAATGACTTTTAGATCTGCTCAGATTAGGAATGTGGTCCCACTCTCTCCAGGTGAGACAGATTATTTTATTTCCAAGAAGGCAAATGGCAGGAGGCTAAACAGTAGACTTGCCTGTATTCTTCATGTGAGTTTTTATCCCCAAAGTATCCCTGGGCCCCTGAGCCCAGGTTTCCTTTCTAGTTGTGCACGCCCACAAGATGCCCTGCCCCACGGCCTTCTACTCTGCTACCCGAGAAAGCCTGAGGGCACGGGCTTGGTAAAATTGAGTTAGACCCCTTCCTTACTCCTCTGAACCTCAGCTGGCCAGGTCTCAGGGGTTTAAACAAAGGCAGGAGCCTCTCCAGAAGTAGATTAGGGAGCCAGCCATTCAAGGAGAGGATTTGTGCATGTTGCTAATCCTCCCTGGAGTAGATTCGGATGGGAACAGGATGTGTGACCTTATTTAGAAAAAATGGCTACACTCTGTTACCCTTTATTCTCTTAAAAAGGAAAAATCATTACATGGCAGAGGTTCAGGCCCCCTGGGGGATTTTTCTGGCCGATCCTCTGTTTTAAGAGTCATATTTCCACAGATGTAATAAAATTATCAGTAACTTTGACACCCCCCTGATTCGCTCTTTCTAGTCTCTATTCACAGTTCTTGTACATCCTAGGTTTTTTGTTCTTTCCTTCCCAGCCCCAGCACTCAAGGATAAAGATGACATTTCTTTTAAAGGAGGAAGGAAAAAAAGAGGTTCATTTTGTGGCCCTCCCTCCCAGCATGCTCTGGCTCAGCACCGGTGAGTGGCCTGTGCATTCTGAGCAGATTCCCTCCGTACAGCCAGCTCAGCTCCCGCCACTCACAGCCTTCCCAGCCAGCCTAGTCCCCCTTCTCTCTATTCCTAGAGCAACTTTTGTCTCTTTTACTGTCAGGAGAAGGAGAGCGCACCGATTGTGGAAGGACCCAGGCCCAAACACAGGCCGTGCACCCCTGGCTGAGCAGGGCGGGGCTTGCAAGCGTTTCTTTCCCTGCACTTGCAATTACGTTGTGCAATGCCTCCCCCGAGTCTCCCAGCTAAAACACTGAACTGGAGGACAGGATGTTGTTCATCCTGTTATTTCCGGTCATGTACCTAGTCATTCATTTCTTTATACAATTGCCCTCCTAGGACCCAAGAATAGAGAGATGAACGTGGTATGCTGAGACGCGTGGTGGGAAGTGTAAACTCCTGCTGCCTCTCCTTTTGGAATGATCTACACATGCTTGAGGAAGCTTCAGATCGCCCTCCCCAGAGCGTGCCCTGGGATAGAAGCAGCGCGTCGTGCTGTCTGAGGACACTGTGGAAACAGTCTTAGGAAAGCCTCTCCTGGAAATGGGATTCCCAAGTGTGGTGTCAAAGGAATGGGTTTTCTGGCCCCTGCCAACAAACCACACCATAAAAAAGTGAGGGAGGGTTCCAGGCATTGAGGTGTTAACGAGATGGGTATACTTTGCAGCTTGAGGCTGAATACATGGAACAGAATTTGAAGGGCCTTATTGAATGGAACGTGGATGAATGAAAAATTTGAAATGCTGTTCTTTCAAGTAGTTCCCAGACCTATCTCGTTTTCCTCCTCAAGAGGGTAGACTATTATTACTCTTGGGGGGGTGGTGTGTGAAAGCAGTTTTGTGTGTAAAAAGCCCTGAAGGGACACATTCCACTGGAGCCCTTTTATTAACAAAATTGTACTCTGCGGGCAGGTGGGGTGGGGCTGGGAGCCCTTCAAAGATGGGCGCCTGGAGGCATCAGGCTGGTTAATAGCCTGCTGGCCTTGTGGCTTCTTCCCAGTCTTTCATCATGTATGACCCTTACCTGTAATTTCTGGACCAAAAAAAAAATGCTCTGTTTTTCCTTTTTGTGTGTTTTATGAAGCTAAGTAAACTAAGATAATGATCTAAGCATTGGCTTTGACAAGCAATTGCAGTGGATAGAAAGGGTTGAGGTGGATTTCACCGCAGATGTTACTCCCCGGAGGCTGAGTCCAAGTACAGCCATGGCAGAGCTGGCCCGGTTGGCAGCTAAGCTGGGCACTCTCTTCCTGACTTGATAGCCCTGGGTCTTCAGAAGCTGCCGGCTCTTAACTATGTAGGGAGGGAAACCAGCTTGTTCCTAGGGAAGCCCTGTTGCTCTGAGAGCTGGACTGATTCACAGCGCTGGCTGTACCTCACAACAACCTAAAAAGATGGAATAGGTGATCCTTTCTCCTAGAGAGTCCCCATCAGTAGGTTTTTGATAAGGAAATGGAATTTGGTGACAAGGATGGTTGATCACTGAAAGCTGTTGCCTCCTCTTACTGCTCAGAGTGGGCCCTGAGAGCTCACCTGGCATGCAGATTCCAGGCTTTACCCAGGTGAGGAGATGTGCAGGTGATTTGTGTGCTCATCAGGGCTGTGATAGGGTGTGTGGGGTGATCAGTGCTTCATTATTCCTGGAAATGGGCCTGTGGATTTATGTGCTTGGGTTTCCAAAACGTCTCCTCCTAAGAGTTGGGCCCACAATCGCCCAACTTTTTACAGTTATAATGTCAGTCATCTCTTTTATAGGTTGTGACCAACTCTTCCTTCTAAGTTGCTTTGTCTTGTACTATTCAGTATACATGCACAATGTGATTCATTTAAATATGCTTATTTTATGATATGAGCTGTGTCCTATAAGCAAATGAGGAGGGGTGTGTGTGTGTGTGTGTGTGTGTGTGTGTGATTTTTGTTTTCTTTTCTTGGCTTGGTTTCTTTGTTTGGAAGTGGAAATGGGCCTGTGGATTTATGTGCTTGGGTTTCCAAAACGTCTCCTCCTAAGAGTTGGGCCCACAATCGCCCAACTTTTTACAGTTATAATGTCAGTCATCTCTTTTATAGGTTGTGACCAACTCTTCCTTCTAAGTTGCTTTGTCTTGTACTATTCAGTATACATGCACAATGTGATTCATTTAAATATGCTTATTTTATGATATGAGCTGTGTCCTATAAGCAAATGAGGAGGGGTGTGTGTGTGTGTGTGTGTGTGTGTTTGTGCTTTACTTTTGCTCTTTTATCCTGGCCTGTGTTCCTTGTGTTGTGAAAGAATGTCTGTCTGTGTCTTTCCACACGGAGAGAAGTTCCTTCTTTTGCGTAGTGATTGTCCTTTAGATATGTGACTATTAGTGCACTTGACTGGCACGTTGGAATTTTTTGTCTGTATTTCTGGCACCTCTGAGAGGAGGCCCTTTTGGGAGTCATAGCATCATCCTCCATGTTAATGGCGTGCTTAGTAGTAGTAGGGATTTAGTAAAATTCATTGAGGGAATGGATGAATGAGTGAGTGAGTGGTGATGTGGAGTAAGAGTTCCCAGTGCACTCTGATATGGATAATAGCAATGCACACATATTTTCTCCATTCTTTCCTCCTCAGAATATCTGAGAGACTGTTTAATTTTCTATTTGAAAATGTCATATTTGAATCAAGAAGCTTAAATCTATGATGGTAAAACAAAATTGTCTAAGTGGAGGGACCCTTCATTCAATTATTTGTTTGGCTAAACAATCATGCATCATCCCTGGGTGATCTGTTGGCCTCTTGATCTTTTCCTTGACTCCTCTGGAACTCTGTCATTGTGGTTGCTTTCCCTCCAAGGATTCAGGATTTCTGCTTTTTCTGGGGGAAGAACCCTCTTTCTTGGTCCAGCAGTAACTTTGTTTGATTGCTTTTGAAAATATTTTCTTGGTGCTGTTTCTGAGAATCAAGTCTTCTCAGGACTGAGCAGCCACAGGTCACATAGCGACAGCAAGAGCCTCATTATGATACTTTTCGGTTTTCACCCCTGAGAATAATTTTACACTGAGAGGTACTGTAGTTAGTTTAATATAAGTTTAAGCAATTTGAAATTGTAGGTAAACTTGTAATCTAAACATTAAAAAAGGAATTTCTCTTAGTAGCCATCTTGAGCTGTTTTTTGGGTACTTTTCTTTTACACAACATCTGGCCCCCCTGTTCTAACACCCAGACGTGAACAGTTTTTCATTTTTAAAACCGAGGAAAGCCCCATGCTTAATTTGAGAAATTTAAAGTATAGAATTTTATACCTGTTAAAAACATAGATAAGAGTTTTAAAAATAAACTTGCTTGTTCAATATCTCTTGAGTTATTTTTCTGAATACTTTGATCTTACAAATAACGCCCCTAAACCCTCTGTGTGGTTTTAGTGCCCAATCTTCCAGTGTTTTTTTAAAAGTTTGTCTTTGACCTGTGGTCAGTCCTCAGGACCCCTTGCCTGTTCTTTCTTGCTTTCTTGAGTGGCTGCTTGGCAAGTTTGATGAAATTTGGCACCTGTGATCACCCAGGTCCTGAGTTCAGGTAAAAGGAGCTGGTGTTCCCAGGAAAGTGTATGCTGTCGGGTCCCGTCATTTGTCAGGATATCTTTAAAAATATACTTAGTACCCAGCGTAGGCAGGAGACACTTCCAACAGTTCACGGGCCCTAGTCTCTGATACAGTTTTTCCTGCAGAATTTACTTTTAAGGATTCCCTCCCCTGCTGCTGAAAGTTTAGTTGTTTTGAGGGATAAATAGTAATCAGCCCCTCAGCCATTACATTTTAGGAATGGAGGAAATACCCAGGGGGCATGAAAAATTATCAAAAGAATCTGGCAAAACTGTTAAAAGAGCTCATGCCTTCTGATTAGAGCTATTTAGGAGTAATTGCTGTCATTCAGAGATGTCAGTAAACAGGACACCACTGCTAAGTAACAGGACCAGCAAGGCTTCCAAGGGACTTGCTCTTTGCAACTCTGCCTGTTGCAGCAGTTACAGACTTGCCATACTGACTTTATGAAAGTAAGGACAATCTTGATGCAGGGGGATGATTCCCTCGCCACCCCACCCTGGCCTACATTTATATTTTCTATATGTTCTTTTTACTCTCTGTGATGTTATTTTTATTTAGTACAAGAGTTTAGAGATGAAATTTTGTTATGACTCAAAGCATGGCTTCCTGTAAGCAAAAGGACCGTGAAACTGAGGGGAACGGGTGGCAGCTCCCTGTATACCAATTGAAAAGTGTCCTTTGCCACCATTTATGTTCTCTGAATGGCAGACTTCCCTGGCATTTCTCAAACTCACAATTTAGGTGGGAGTAGGAAGAGTGACTGTCCAAGATGGGTGGTTGCTGTTGGGTGTGCATTATTTTCCTTTTTAGAATGTATGTAACAGGGACTTCCTAGGCTAAATGGTGTCTGAAAACTTAGCCCAGGAGAAACCAGCCATGCCTCCAGAATGCTCCTGTATCCTGGCAGTGGTATTGTGAATGGCCTCCGTGCTACGAGGGGACACCTTTGCTGTGGGTTAAAAGCTTAGTTTGGGTTGCAATGGGTCAGGGTGGAGTCTGACAGGCTGCTGCACCCCAGGGGTGTAGATGGAGCCAGGTTCGTGGTTAACAACCCTCCATGGAGGCAAGAAAAGAAGGCGCACTTGAACAAGACTCCCTTAGCAATGGCTAAGAGAGAGATCCAAATATCTACAGCGACAATCTGAGATGACATCAGTGCCCACTTGGAGTGGGGCACAGTGTGCAATTCCTTCTTGAAGGAGGACTGTTGGGAAAGGAATTTTTGCCTCAATCGAGTAACTTTTCCCTGCTGTTTAATATGCATACTCTTCTTGAGTAGTAAAAGATGCAGAAGAAAGACAGCATTGTTTAAAGACAATTCTTAGAAGCCATTCTTGGCCATCTCTTTTGAAGTTGCAGGCCCCACCACAGTCCATATGTCAACACAGTTCTGTTTGTGCAGAATTTGGTAACCTGAGGGGCCTTGCCATCTTGCCAGAGCACTTCTGTGCCTCCTAAGTAACAGCAGTGAAAAAATGCATCTTGTGCAAGTTTGGGAGTTTAGAAATACTCTGCTGAAAAGTGCAGTGTGCTATAGGGCATGTTATAGATTATCCCATTGAACAGAGAGCAGATTACCTTTTCTCGGGGGGATAAAAGGTCTTGGGACAGGTTAGCTTCCTTTCTTCATAGGGTAAGGAGGAACTTTTGTCTGTACTGCTTGCTTCCACTTGGCAAAAAGAAAGGGGTTAGGCCATTCTTTGGCATACCCAGGGCTGTGCATGTCCTCTTTGTTCCCATTGCTCCTGAGTTGGTTACATATAATTCTTTGCGGCTTTGAAATAAGGAATTGCCAAAAAAGAAATGTAGGAACTAGAAACTTTGTTGAGAGGATACGAATGTAGTTTGTAGGTTTTGAAGCTTCTTAGGGGGAAGGATATCTGTGATGTGATTGTAAGAGCTCTGGATAGGGGTTGAGCCAGGATGGCAAGCCCATGCCGCTGCCGCATGCCTGACCTCGGACAAGTCCCTCCAGGCTCTGAATGTCAGGTTCCCTGCCAGAGCACTGGGCCCGCTGAATTCCAGGCAGGAATCAACTGTGCTCTTGCCTCCAAAACTGGTTATCACAAGAATATTGATCCATAAAAACTCACGTTGTATCATCGGTCACTTGGCAGCTGGCCCAGCGCAGGGAGAGGCGAGGGATGCCTCATCTGTGGCTCTAGGTCCAGATTTGGAGATGGAATTTGGGAATATGAACCCCCAGGCACTTGCAGAAGTGCAAGTCAGTGGCTGGTGATAAATACCCTTCTCTGCTTTCATGTCACCTCTATCCCTCTTCTTTGCTTGTAACAACTTTGCGGTGTAGCCTTTCATTTTAGCTGTCAGAGAGCTCAGAAATGAGTTGGAGGAAAACAATTTTGTAAAGCCCGGAAGGTTTGACTTTACAGCTCTGTTTGCTGCATTTGTTAGCTACCCACCCCTCCAAAGACAAGTGCTTCGTGGCTTGGCTGTTCTGATCTATATTATTTGAGTTTATGTGGCCAGATTGTGAGCTGGGACACACAGTAGAGTTAACAGACCTCCTCAATGGCCATTAAAAAAAAAA